CATATAAAACTGAGAGGAGGGTGCAAGCAGTGGCTTGGAAATCCAATATTGCTAGGATGAATTTTGGTCCTGACATTTTTGTGCCTACAACTGGGCCCGGTCCCATATTGGTTCAGTCACAACTTTTTCTAGTGGGGACAGGAATTGGTGCATTCTCACCTGTAATTGTGTCGCTGAAACCTGGGCAAGCTGTGTCTGGAGATCTTAATGGTGAAAGTTCCAATCCACGCGGCACCAAAGGTACTAGAAACTCTACCATGAGGGGGGTGGAAGTCAGGGAACTTCCTATTAGGACTATGGTTGCTGCAGTTTATGCTTTTCCTGGACGCGCAATTTTTTATGCATCTCGAGATTCTATGGAATTCTTTAACTCGGTTTTGAGTAGAGTTCAGCAGGTCACTTCTGAAACTGGTATGCATTGGAATGCTTCACCAATATCTGATAAAAAACTTTCCCACAATGTTGAGATAAGGCAACAGCCAAACACTGAGGTTTCTGGAATGCCAAGTCTGAGGCTGTTTGGCGTTACTGTCAACCATAGCTCAATGGTTGAAGTGGCAAAAGGAGTTGCAGTTTCATATAGCTTAGTGTTCCTTGATGACCATATTCAGGTTAATGGAGATGAAGGACTAGACAAGATTAAGCATCTCCAAACTCATGAAAACAATGAGATGTATAAAAAAGCTGTGATATTCTTAGACAAAGATGGGGCTGAGCAAGTGCAGATGAAGGTTAAAGTAACAAAGTTCTTTGTCCAGAATTCAGTGAGGTATTGGGAAGGAAGAGGCGCAAGGATGAAGGTCAAGTTGAAGATTGTTTCTTATCACCCACCTTGATGACAAGGTGGTTGTCAAAGGGGGGAGATATGATAGGATCCTGCGCTATTGAGTAATAAGAGTCTTATTAAGTAATTTTAATAGTGTCAATAACAGGGTTTTAGGCCCTATAACTTAATAGAAGTGGGCTGGCCCATTAGAAATAGAATAAATAAGGGGGAGGGGTGAGTAGATGGGCAGGCAGAATTTGGATAGGAATTAGGCCCTGGGAGTGTTGAGACGACTCGAACAGTCTCTACTGTATCTTTCTCGCTGCAGTTTATCAATTCTACGTCAATTTTGCATCTCTTCGATTCCTGGTTCTATCACTGGATCACGATCTTCATTACTTGACCCTTCATCATCCCTTTGAACAAAGCTGTCCACAACCAGGTTTAACCAGATTCTTTTCAGGGAGAGTGATGTTGTCACCCTGAAGAACATAATGATTGTTCTCTTGCTCAGATTTCCCGGTAGACCAGCAAATGTTCTCATAAAAATGCAAGTGTCTCAGGCTTGTCAGGATGAAAAAGGATTTGAGTTAACTGCTTTTCACATCACAAACAATTGGTACTGTAATAATATCTCCAAATGATCCAAGAAGTTTAAGGTCTATTGGCTCTACTTTATCAATGCCTTTCAACTTTGTAAGCCCAGATGACCAATCAAGTTTAGGTATCATCAAAACTTCTTCATATCCAATTTCACTCCCACCATAGACATAAAGGTCGCATTCATAAGTGGTATTTGGTTTGCTAGCCGAGCAACGCAACAGAATAACAGGAAACCTTTTACCTCCAGAGGATAGTTGTAAGTTAACAATGCTATCAGACCGATTTTCCGCCTTGTGGCCTTCTGAATAATCTGTGGCAGAAATAAGTTCAATCAACCTCCAAACAGCCTCATATTTCGCACTCCTGGAACCTCTGTGTTTGGCTGTAGCTTAATCTCAACAATGTGGGGAAGATTTTGATCAGGTCCTTGTGAAGCATTCAGATTATTACCAATTTCAGAAGTGACATGCTGAACTCTACCGAAAACCGAGTTGAAGAATTCCAGAAAACCTCGAGAAGCATCAGAAGCTGCACGTCCAAGACCAAGAGAAACAGGAACTGCAGTTGGGCAAACTTCAGGTCTCGCAGCCACTGACCATTTCTCCTGGCTTTCATCGTCGCCCTCAGTGAACTTCTCTGCATTTTCTCTGGATCGCGAAGCACTCCTATCGTCAGAAGAAGGTTGCCGCCCACTCACAGACTCCTGTGGGGCTGATTAAACCTGCGCACAGTGAGAAGTGTTTTGCGACAAAACCTGTGATGAGCCCCTGCGAACTGGTAGAAGTCGTTCGCGATGGCGAACTGGAAGACACGGCATTGTGACTGCGAACTGGAAACAGTGGCTAGCGACGACAACAAGCACCGGATTTCAGAAGGCCGACGACGTCTAGGGCTCCTCGCTCGGTCTCTAGGTCGCCTGAGACGAAGTTTGCGTAACATGTCGCGCATCCCATCCAGCGACTTGCCCAATGTAGTTATCATCTCCTTCACGTTGCGTTCAATATCCCATCCAGAGGCACTAGAACTCTGTTATCGTACAATATCCAATACTTAATATTATTCTTCTTACTAGTACTATCTAGCTCCCTATCAGATGCACCAGAGAAAAAACTTGTTTTGGATTCTGTTACGGATGTGGTTGGGAGATGGAAAGGAAGATGATTGAAATCAACAATGATGAAGAACTTTCCCACCCTAGGCAAGAGAGGGTGGCTCCCAACCCAGTTAAGACTCCAAGAAATATCTTCATACTATTGATGATATTTTACTTGAAAAGAGCACCTGTTTTGATAGTTCCCAACCTAGCTCGGTGCACATTGGCGTACCCACAATTCGAGGGTCCTGGGAAGGGTCCCACCTCATGGGTGTAAAAGGAGCAAGTCTTCCGTTGTCATTGTTGACAAGAGGCTGCTCCCAAGACTTGAACCTGTGACCTCTCGGTCACATAGAAACACTGTAACCAGTGTGCCAAGGCTCCCCATCTTTTGGTGGATCAATATCAGATTAAATTTTTTAAACTTATCACAATACCGCCATTACGAATATTAACAAGAACTGAATTCTTATATTAATATAAGAAAGTAGTACTAAACACTAACAATGATAACAACAACAATAATGATAGGAAACTTATACTAATAATCTAATACTATAAAAGGAAACTTATAATAATAACAACATCAATAATCAATAATATCAATAATAACATATGGCTTCCTCATTCTTTTCCTTGGATCTAGCACAAGACCTGCCCATATCATTGCTGCCGTCTTGGCATCCTATTCCTTTCAACAAGCTTGTCTTCAAGCAACCCATGATGCCAGTATATTCCATGATCATACAGCATCTTTATAAAACCAATAATCACCACGTGGCTCGTAGCCACCTGTCTGTGAGTAGTGAGCCAAAGCCCCAATAGACATCTATTAAATCTGTCCTTGGAGGAAGGTCCATTATATCTCGCTTGAAATGTTGGATCACATACTTGAAGTAGTCTCCAAATTCAGATGAGTAGCATCACATTGAGGTGAGCGGAAAAACAAGAAACATGAATCGGGAAGTTCAAGTCCGGGTTGTGGTAACTGGTCAGACCCCGAAACACACTGAATGTACATTACATGCGCTGATACTGTTGGGCGTTGTTGTTCGTGGTTGCTCTTGCCACAAATCTTGAGTAGTTCTTGATGAGAGGCATATGAGGCAAAATTTCTGGCAACTTCGGTGTGGGCAGTGAATGTGCAGGAGACATTGATGAAGCTGCTGTTGGTAATGGTATAATGAGCAGCGGTGGCAAAAAATGGCTTTGTTAGCGGCTGCAATGTTGAGAATTATGTAGGCAATGTCGATGGTTTGTCTGGCGATGGTGATGCAAACAATAGAGGCTGACCGTTTCATTGAAAAAGTTTGATGTTATGTGGGGCAGATGGGGATGCTGACATTGAAGTTTCTAAGAAAGATGCAGAATCATATTGATGTAAATGTTGCTTTTGCTCAAAATTTTGTACTAAACTGATTGCGGCATCCGTATTTCTTGGATAATGATATTCCAATTCCAAACAAATATCCTCTTGAAGTTCGTTCTTTAAGGAGCTTACCTAGATTCAGATGGGCAAGACCTTTGTGCGTGTCAACAGACACTGGAACTGGATGATATATGCACTGACATCACCTGTTTGCTGTAGTTCGAACAATGGAACATTTGTTGGTGGCAAGGTTTAAAAAGGCTAGTTTGGGTATAGAGGCGGTTTGTTCGAGAGAGGCGAGGCGTATGCCTCAAAATTTACCAACAATTAAAACTGAAAATAGTTAAACTAGTAATAACCAACTATAAATATGCATAATAAAAATTCACACAGTCTCAAACACAAACACATATATGATCACATCATCAAACACTATAATTGAAACACAAAAGTACAAAACAAACATACCACTATATGACAATTTGAAACTCTCGAAGCTTAATCATCATGACTGGAGGGTCTTCGGAAGAATCATTATATATTTATATCTTATAGCCTTCTCACCGTCATCCCTTCTATCATCACTATCAAAATCTTTAAGTTCTTTTTCTTCATCATCATCATCATCATTTACCTCCATTACTTGTTTATTATTCTTATTTTTTCCTTGGTTACGCATCTGCTTCTTTGTGCAGTATGGATAAATTTTAACGACACGTAGAATGCTTAATAGGGAGTATATGTTAGGGTTTAAATGAAACAAGACTAGTTTGGGTTTAGTGTAGACACGTGTTTAATGTATGAGCCTTTTTACCCTTTTATTAAATAAAAATTACCTTTTTATGCTACGGGACATTAAAATGATAGAAGCAAAGGAAAAGCACCTCACAAAAACGCGATGATAGAGACCTGGACTTATGGGCTAAAATATTTTAATAAAATGTAATAGTGGGCTGGGCCAAATAATTAGAAAGATTGAGGGAAGCCTCATTTGGAAAAGAATAAATAGGAGTAGAAGAGGGAGAGGGTAGGCTGGAATTCAGTTGGCATTAGGCTGGGAGAGTGAGGCCTCTCGAAGAGTCTCGATTTCTTTCGATTTCCGCACCTGTAAAACTCAGATTACCGTCAATTTACTACCTGTTTTCCCATGTACCTATCGATGGAATCAGAGCAGTCGACCCCGGGAAGCGTGTAGAAGCACTCTGGTTTGCGCAAAGAAGATCGACGGTTAGAACTGACCGCCTCTGGTTCGCGCGGAAAAGTGGAGAAGCATTCAAACAGGGAGAACCGTTCAAACCTGGAGAAGGAGAAGGGCTCAAACCTGGAGGAGAAGCGTTCAAACCAGGAGAAGGAGAACCGCGTGAAGAGCAGGGAAAAGGTAGAAAGTGATTGGGAGAAAAAGTGGAGGATCTGGCTAGATGAGTTTCGCACCAAGTTGCGCCAACAACGTCGCCGGCGTGGACGATCGCGGACCGTGCGACGCTGCCAGAATTCGAAGAGAAAAGTTTCATCGTCATCGCAGACTGACTCTAATAGTTCGCAGGTTTGGTCTCGGTCGCAAGCAACTACTCCCAGTTCGCCAACTTCGCCACCCGCAGATGTCCCCAGTTCACAAGCTCTATCGCCAGCTGATCCCTATTCGCAAATTTCAACCTCCCCTCAGGAGTCAGATAATCAGCGGCAACCTTCCCATGAAGGTATTTTTTCTACGTGCCCCAGAGAAAAGGTAGAAGACGACAGAGTCCAGTTGGGTCCTAACAGTGCTGAGGATGTTCAGAAGGTCGCCAATCTAGATCAAAATTCCGCTAGAGAAGATGATAATTCTTCTCTGGAGAAGAAACCGCTGTCCATGGTCAGTACTGTTGACCCTGGAAAAAACGGAGAACATGCAGAGTGTTTTGAGCTGGAAGTACCTCAGGCCCTTATACCTGGAGTTCGTTCTGTGGCTACAAGAGCTATTGGCTCCCCAGACGTGGTTCAAAACTCATTCAAGCTCCTGGTAGATTCATTGAGGCACACAGATGCAGAGAGGTTAACAAGAGTTTTCATAACGTGCTTAATGAAAGAGACTAAAGCAGAGTTGCAACACTGTCATTATGAATACGTTTCTGAATTTGGGGATAAAGCCCTGTTGTTGGAAGAGAAGAACAGGGCTGTAAGGAGAGGAAAGTACAGAGTTGAAGACATGAGGGGATGGAAGGAAAAAGGGGGCTGTATGAACAAACCTAAACATTGGATGGAAGGATTGAGGGGAAGGACACCTACGAGTAACAATCAACAGGCTGAGATAGAAAGACAACGGAGTAAAGAGGGAATTACAACGCAAAAGGCCTTCTGGGTGCCAGGACAATTAAATGACCAAGATGGAGGCAAAATCGTGGTAATCCGTATTGATTGTGTAGCTACTCACAAGCTTGTCCCACAGGAATTGGTTGAAGATATGGAGCTGGTCTATAACACAACACCTAAGTTGCTGAGGGAGATGGAGCATGGGGAACAGGTTTTCAATAATGGTATATGTAAAAGCTTACAGATATGGATATGGGTGCAGGGTTTAATTATCATTCACAATTTTTATTTACTAGAACCGGGTGGAACTGATATAGTACTGGAAAGGGAGTGGTTGACAAGAGTAGGGAATATTGAAGTTAGTTACAGAAGATTGAATGTTCCTGGATCTTTAAGAGCATTGTTGAACAACGAAACCAGCAGAGAGCTTGTCAGGACCCACTTGCATTCCCTCGTCAGAGATTATTTAAATGATTTTCTTGTTGGCAAGAGGCTTCGGTGGCTAAACTTTTGCAACTCTCTGAAGCGATGTGGAATTGTACATATGATGACTAATGGAAAGGAGACCGCTCTTGAAGTTCAGTCCCTCAGGGTGTTAGAATCTTGTGCTGTGAAGAACACTAATTGCTATTCATTAAGCATGTATCAGGACCTGTTGGGGTCAACAACACTTTATAATGATGAATGGGTGAGTATTTTTATTACCTATGCTGTCTTGAGGCTGACAATATTGGATAGCAAAAGATGGGAAAAGGTAATTGTGCATAAACTGGAGGATCAGGTAAAAGACATATATACAACAGAGAGGAGGATTCAAGCACGGGCGTGGAAAACCAATATTACTATGATGAATGTTGGGCCTGATGCTTTTGTATCTACCAGAGTCCAATCTCATAATGGACCAGTCACATTTTTTTCTAATTGGAACAGAAATTGGCATATTCTCACATGTTACTGCTTCGCTGAAATCGGGACAAGATGTTTGTGGAGCCCTTGAGGGTGAAGGTTCCAATCAACAAAGCACTGAAGGTGCTAGAAAATCTACCCGGAGGGGTGTGGAGGTTCGGTTACTTCCCATGGGGACTTTGGTTGCGGCTGTACCTGCTTCTATTGGATGTGCCGTCCTGGATGCATCTCGAGGTTCACTGGAGTTCTTCAACTCATTTTTGGGTAATGATCTAGATGTATCAAAAGGTGAGGATTGGAAGCTGAAAGTGGTTCACGGGATTGATGACAGAATAATATCCATGGACTGTCCTGCTACTGGAACTCAGTGGCTTTACAGCAGAGTTGATCAAAACGGATATGCAGAATATAGTGGATTTGGGGGTACAGATCTGCTGGATGCATTGACGAGTATTATGTCATTGAAAAGGATCAAGAGCATGCAGGAGGAGTCAAATCTTTTGCATTACAGGGAAATACGGAAATTTTGGTCAATGGAGACAACTACCAAATTTGGATGATTTTTGGGAAAGTTTTAGCAAAGGCTAGGAGGAATGGATGACAAAGGTTCAAGTACCGAAGCTAAAGGAACTGAAATCAGAGAAATATTGGGAAGGAAGGGGCACGAGGATGAAGCTAGATGGCATAGCTGCTCTTACTCCCCACCTTGAGGACAAGGTGGTTGTCAAAGGGGGGAGTGATGATAGAGACCTGGACTTATGGGCTAAAATATTTTAATAAAATGTAATAGTGGGCTGGGCCAAATAATTAGATAGATTGAGGGAAGCCTCATTTGGAAAAGAATAAATAGAAGGAGTAGAAGAGGGAGAGGGTAGGCTGGAATTCAGTTGGAATTAGGCTGGGAGAGTGAGGCCTCTCGAAGAGTCTCGATTTCTTTCGATTTCCGCACCTGTAAAACTCAGATTACCGTCAATTTACTACCTGTTTTACCGTGTACCTATCACGCGTCAAGGCGTACACCTTGAATTTTGAGATGTAAGCCTCTTGTCTTGAAAAAAAACTTGATCCTCAAAACCTTTTCTGTACGCCTCACCTTGAGGCGCACCTCAAAACCCACCTCTTATGCGCCTTTTTAAGCCATGGTTGGTGGAATCTCGTAGTTAGTTAGCATGGTGCAATAGTTCTCAAGATTTTTTCCCCTGCATAATGCCAGCTGGCATGCCAGCTTGCCAGCTGAGCCGCATTTGTATACAGATGGAAGTAAAATATACCAAAGCTTGTTGTAACACCTTGACAAACTTCAAAACAATTTGATGTTATGAACCAACATATCCAAAAAAACAGTTCATATGATACCCATCAATTGATAGAACAATATAAATTGGAAAAGAGACGTGCAAAGTTCAGGAACTCGTTCTTTTTTTTCTTTTGAATTCAGACTTTTTAAAGCTACATAGTTGTTAATAAAAACATAAAATAACCTTGCTCAATAACACACACACTTGGAAATAGAAGAAATATAATAAACCACCTTATAGAAAAAAATACAAACAACAACAATGACATTCAAGTCTTATTCTCAAAAGATTTTGGGATCAGCTAACATGAATCGATCTATGATACCAAAACCAAAAAGAGAAGAAAGATAAAAAGAATAAAAAGATAAAGTATGATAAAACGGATAAGATAAAGATAAATATTAGATAAAAATAACATAAGAATATAAAAAAGATAAAAAAATAAAAAGATAAAAAATAAAAAGATAAAAGAGCATATGAAAGATAAAAGATAAAAATAATATAAGAACATAGAAAGAGAAAAGAGATAAAAGATAAAGAGAGAGAAAAGAGATCAATCGTCCGCACAAATATGCGCCCTACACATTGCTCTTTCTAAAGCCATACTCTCATCCAACCCAAGAAGAAGAATATCAGTTCTGATTCCTCTAATTCAAGTCTGTTTGAGTCTTCCTTCCCCTCTCCTCCCCATCTCTTCTCCCCACCTCTCAAGTCGTCTAACATTGCGCACATGACCAAACTACCGCAATCGAGACTCCTACATCTTATCTTCTATAGGTGCTCTTTCACCGGTATGCTCACACATCCAACGCAACATACACATATCTACCACACCTATCTTTTAAATGTGATATTGTTTCACTGCCCAACACTCTATGCCATACATCAATGTAGTCCTAATTTACTCGAAAAAATACAAAATAACAGAAAAATTTAAAGGTGAAGTAGATCTTCTGGTGTCAGAATTTTAACTGGTCAGCGATGGATTCCAAAAAGCTTAATTGAAGAATTTGTGTTTCTTTATTATATGGGCTCTCTCCCTTATTTTGGCTTTCGAATGTTGGAGCATATGAGAAGGAAAAAACAACAGTGTAGGGAAGGAACGTGCTACAATGATACCAAATTGTTTCGGGTGTTGTTAAGAGATGTAAAAGATTGAAGTGAATAAAAATGAAGAGCATCCCAGCCCTTGGCAAGAAGTGGCGGCGTTCAACCTTGTCAAGATTCCAAGAAATAACTTCGAAGTTATTGGTGATACTTTTGGTGTATATAACACCTTTACTTATACTATTTCTAACAGTCCTTGTGGACTAGTATTACTGCAACTTCATATGAGCCCGTAACATAATTCTAAACTATTACTATACTGCTATTAGGAATACTAAGTAAATATAATTCTTATACTAATAGGAAAGTAGTCTTAAAAATAGTAGGAAATTAATAGTAATGTTAGGGACCTACCTATTAGTGTTATACTAATAATAGAAGTACTAATAATAATATTAGTAATAAGGGTCTCTATTATAAATAGACGGGAAGGGGGAGTAGTAGGAGGGGGCTTTTGGACGTATAGTCTGGGACTTAGGAAGATCGAGAGCTATTCTCTTTCTTTGGGTGGCTTCGGTTCAATTGGGAGCTTCGGCTTTGGATTTCTGTACTGTTCATCTTCTTCTCTAATAAAGTCGGTTTGGTTTCTTGTTCCCTTTTTGTAATTTGTTCTGGAATTCTGGAGGTTCCTATCAATTGGTATCACAGTGCGTCGATCTCTGGAGGAGATACTCGCGCGCAAAATGGAAAGGAAAACTAACGACCTGGAAAGAAGTCAAAGGGAATCAGCCGCAGCTGTGGCGGCGAAGATAGCAGACTTACGAGCTACGATCGTGACCTTGGTGGAGAGAGGTCAACATCCATCAGGAAGCAGATTGCGTACATCGGAATTTTCGTATCGTTCCTCGCATCGCACGCCTGGCCATCACCACTCGCGTCACTCGTGAGAATCAGTAAGTTCAGGGGATTCGGAAGGGAATTCTGACTATTTGTATCCGCATCGCTCTTCGCAGAGTTCTTTCCATCGCTCTTCGCAAAGTTCTTCCCATCGTTCTTTGCAGAGTTCTTCTCATCACTCTTATCATCGTTCTTCGCATCAGAGTTCGCAGATTTCCTCAACGAACATCAGTTCGCATTCTTCGTCTAAAATGGCTTATCGGAAGTCAACTAGTTCAAAGAAGGAGAAATTACCTCTATTCTACGAGGATGAAGCATACGAATGGATAGAGAAGATGGAAAGATATTTTCGAGTCCAAGCTATTGCAGAAAGATTTAAAGTGGACGTGGCAACAAAGGCTATGGGGGAAGAAGCAGATGGCTGGTTTCAATGGTGAGATTTTCAAAAGATAGAAGATAGTTGGGAGGCTCTAAAAGAAGATTTGATTAGGGATTTTCCACCTAGACACCGGCAGAAGACAGGGAAGACAGCAAAACAAGAGTCAACCAGATCAACAAGAACTTCCTTCAGTTCTCAAAAGTCATCGCCAACATCACCCTTCAGTTCACAGGCTTCAATTGCTACTACCAGTTTACTTCAGAAGCAATCCAGATGTGAAGTTTCCAGTTCGCAATCCGGAATTGTCTCAATCCACAAGAAGGTTCAGAAGGAATGGAAAATGTGGAATCTGATTTAAACTCATCTCCAAAGGATGTTTTGATTGAAGAAGTTTCCGAGTCAGTTCAAGCTTCGATGCGGGAAATTTCATAGAGGACACCAACTCTTGAGTGGAATCCGGTTGAATCATCAGTTTTAAATGAACCTGTAATCAAGATGGAACCAACTGAACCTGTAATCATGCAAAGGAATAAGAAAGAAAAAATCAAGGAAGTTGCAGAAGATAAAGTTGTTCTTGTCAAAAGTCAAGAACCTAGACAGCAAAGGGAGATGTTTTCTGAAAACTCATGCATGGGTAAAAGGAGGTCTGGTCGAGAGATTCATGTTCATCTTCTTTCTGGGAAAACGTATACCATTATTCCAATTGGGGCAGGAGAGTTCAGAATTACAGGTTTCATTGAGAAAACGGCATGAAGTTATGTGGAACAAAATATTGAAGCTAATGAAAAGGTGAAGGTGAAACAAGGCTTGAAAATGGCAATGTTTTCTTATGGTGAAGAATCTGCTTACCTGCTGGGACGCCAATTTTGGAAGTCTTACATGGGAAATAATCTTTCCTTTTCCTTGGTTAGGAGAACTGCAACTGGAATAAGGGGTATCCTTACTTACCTGCTAAAAACTCTGAGGTTTTCCTTCTCAAATAAGTTGGCTACTGAAGATGCTGAAATTTCAAGGAGTGAAGCAACTGAAACTCAAAGATTTGAGTTATACCCTGTAGCAAGAGCTATTAGCATATGGAAGAATGAGCACGGGATGATGGGTGAAGATCAGTACCAGCAAGATCAAAGACACAGAACTAATATTGATTGATGACTGGAAGGAAGAGGAGCTAATGCTGTTTTTGCAGGAAGCAGTAAGAAGGAAGGTTCAAGTCATGGAGTTCAGGATCCTGAAATTTGAAAGATATTGGGAAGGAAGAGGTGCAAGGAAGAAGAAGAAAGAGAAGATTTTGGTTGTCTCCTACCGCCCACCTTGAGGGCAAGGTGGATGTTTAGGGGAGAGTATTGTTAGGGACCTACCTATTAGTGTTATACTAATAATAGAAGTACTAATAATAATATTAGTAATAAGGGTCTCTATTATAAATAGACGGGAAGGGGGAGTAGTAGGAGGGGGCTTTTGGACGTATAGTCTGGGACTTAGGAAGATCGAGAGCTATTCTCTTTCTTCGGGGGGCTTCAATTCAATTGGGGGCTTCGGCTTTGGATTTCTGTACTGTTCATCTTCTTCTCTAATAAAAGCAGTTTGATTTCTTGTTCTCTTTCTATAATTTGTTCTGGAATTCTGGAGGTTCCTATCAAGTAATAGCTCAACAATACCCCTTCCATATTTATTTACTTGCAACTATAGGGTTAGCACCATGGTTATATATCATTTCTTTCAAAAATGTAAACTCAAGCTGTTAATTGCATAATTTAAAATATTTTTGCATTCATGAAGATATAATTAATATTATATCTTCATTGTGAATAAATAATATTACGTACCATCCGTCTATATAATTGTAACGCTTAATAAGTGAAATAAAAACATTTTAAATTATGTAATTAATGCAATAAATTTACATTTTTGAAAAAACAACATATGACCATAGTGCTAAAAAAACTTTTTATGTAAAGTTTGGAGTATTTAAATTACACATTCAAATTTGGGGTGTTGACCTCACACTCCTTTAAAGTTTGGAGTATTTGAATTATTTTTCCCTAAAGGAAACTAGTAATAATACCACTACTAATAACAACGATAATAATATATGCCTTCCTCGTCCTTTCATGCGGCTCTAGCATGAGACTCCACCCATATCAAATTCTTCCCTGCCTGCCAAGAATGGTTTTCCTGCGTGATGTCTTGGACTTGATAAAATTGGGATGGTAGTAGCTTTATATTTTGATCCAGAGCTCTTTTTAAGGAGATAACCATTGGTGATTTAGAGCCCGTTTGGTAACACTGAAATCGGCTGATTCTGCTTAAATTTTTGAAGTTCTGGCTGAAGAGGCTGTATTGGCTGATTCTGCTGATTTATGAATAAATTATTTTTAAAATATATTCTATTAATAAAACAAAGAAAAAAATTAGATGAAAAAATTGCTAAAATGGTCATCTACAATAACTTCAGCCAATACAGCCAAAAAAGTAACCCCAACCATACTTTTTTATTATTATTACACAATTCAGCAAGCGAAATCAAAAGTTACGTGTTTGATTAAAAAGTTGGCTGATAAGCTTGACAACTCGAAAATCAGAGTCACCAAACGGGCTCTTAGTCATTTATGTATAGAATAGTAAAGTTCAATCTTGACAATGTGATAGGAACCGACTTATTAAACTAATAATAGAAGTAATAATAATAATAATAATAATAATAATAATATGGGTCTGTGAGTATTCTAGTTTAAATAGACGGGAATGGGGAGTTAGTAAGGAGGCTTTTGGACATTCTGTCTTGGGACTGGGAAAGATTAGAGATTAATCCTCTCTATCTTTTGGGGGCTTCGGCCATTGTTATTGTTACTGTTCATCTTCAATAAAGATTTTCAATTGTTTCTTGATATTATTTCCTGTAATTGCTGTATTTTCTGGAGAGTTCTATCATTGGTATCAGAGCACGTTTTGATCGCTGGATGATTTAGGCGTGCCAGGATGGAAGGAAGAATTAACAAACTGGAAAGAAAACAAAAAGAAACATCGGCAACAATGGCGACTATGGCAACGACCTTGGCAGTCATAAAGGCGGACATCGCAAAGCTGGAGAATAAAGTCCCGAGTCGCTAGCGAAACAAATCGCATACGTCGCACACTTCGCACCATTCAAATCGTTCTTCGCATCGCTCTTCGGAAAGTTTTTCCCATCGCTCTTCGCAGAGTTCTTCGCATCACTCTTATCATCGCTCTTCGCATCAGAGTTCGCAAACTTCCTCAACGGCCATCAGTTCACATTCAAGAAAGACACTATTGAAAAGAGAATCTTCTTCTTCACCAAAGGGTTTTCACTGTTCGCATTCTTCGTCTAAAGTCGCTTCTCGGAATTCAGCTAGTTCAAAGACGGAGGAATTACCTCTATTCCACGAGGATGAAGCGAACGAATGGATAGAGAGGATGAAAAGATATTTCTGAGTCCAAGCTATTGCAGAAAAATTTAAGGTTGACGTCCCAGCAGAGGCTTTGGGGGAAGCCGCATGTGGCTGGTTTCAATGGTGAGAATCTCAAAAGAGAGAAGATAGTTGGAAGGCTCTAAAGGAAGACTTGATTAGGTGTTTCCCACCTAGACGCCGGCAGAAGACAGGGAAGACAACACAACAGGAGTCATCGCGGCCGCCAAGAACTTCTCGTTCAAAAGTTTCTCACCCAGTGCTAGAAATTTCCCAGTCAACAAAGAAGACCCAGATGTGAACCTGTAATCAAGCAAGTGAATGAGAAAGACAAAATCAAGGAGAAAAGACATATTCAATGGCCAGATTATGTTTCCTCTAATCTCGCAGAGGATGTGGATTTAATTCCCAGCCAAGTTTCTATTGCTGACAAGCTTATTCAACCATGTTCTTTTGGAAATAGAGCCCTAATTGCTTCTGAAACTGTTCTTGTCAAGAGTTAACTATCTTTACAACCAAAGGAAAGGTTTTCAGAAAAATTATGCATTGGTAAAAATCGATCTGGTACAGAGGCTCAGGAGGAGGAGGTTGGGCTTGTTTCAGGAGAATCTGCTATCATTCTTGGAAACCACAAACCGATTCATGATGCTGACAAGTCTAGTCATTTCCAACATCTTGGCAGAAATCCATTGCAACTTGCAACCTTAAGTGTTAAAAACTTATCAGAAGTTCAAGGGATAGAATTGCAGCCAATTGTTGAGGGCATGAGAAGCTGCCCCAAGCTTGGCCTACATAACCCATTGAAAGCATTAGAAGGATATCTAAAATTGGGAGGCATTACTACAAAGACTGTTCTTAGCCTATCGCTTCCTGATGTTTTTGACATCTTCACAAGAGTATTACATAAGATGGCTCTTAAGAGTTATCAGCAAGCTCTAGGTGAAGTTGTTTCACCAAATTTTTTAGAAATACTCTATGGTAATCAGGTCCATTCTCTGGCAAGATCTTCTGAAGTGTCAGGAAGTTATCTGGGACAGAACAGCCCCAGATAAGCATGTTCTTAAGGGCCAATGCTACTTCTGTTTCATGATGGGATAATACCATTGGAGATTGTTGAAGTCTTAAATTGAAAAAGAGGAACACAGTATGACGCACGTTCTCATAAACTTTCTTTTGACATGTGTGGATGAAGTTCTGTACAAGCTATTTAGTGAGAAGTTTCACTCAAGAGATAGGATGGAGTCTGAGGGACATGCAATGCTGAGCATGGTCAATAGTTTCTCATCCAGAGGTCTGGGAACTTCTTATACCACCATCAGCGAGGTACTGGGAGGGGGAGAGGCACCAGGAGGAAGAGGAATTCCAGACTTGGTTCCTATCATCCCACCTTGAGGACAAGGTGGTTGTTTAGGGAGGGAGTATTGATAGGAACCGACTTATTAGACTAATAATAGAAGTAATAATAATAATATTAGTAATAAGGGTCTGTGAGTAATCTAGTATAAATAGAAGGGGAAGGAGGAGTTAGTAAGGAGGCTTTTGGACATTCTGTCTTGGGACTGGGAAAGATTAGAGATGGGATAAGACTCAAATTGGACACTATGGTTTAATCAGAATCTCATATTTGACACTAAGGTTTCAATGGATCAAATTAGACACTATGGTTTCATATGTATCTCATATTGGACACTAAAGTTTCATAATTCATAGGTTTTGGACACTCACTTATATTGGATAAAGATCTAATTGGACACTCACTTATATTGAATTATGAAACTTTAGTGTCCAATATGAGATACATATGAAACCATAGTGTCTAATTTGGTCCATTTAAAACCTTAGTGTCAAATATGAGATTCTGATGAAACCAGTGTCCAATTTGAGATTAATCCTCTCTATCTTTTGGGGCTTCGGCTATTGGGGGCTTCGGCTATTGGGGGCTTCGGCCATTGTTACTGTTACTGTTCATCTTCAATAAAGATTTTCAATTGTTTCTTGATATTATTTCCTGTAATTGGTGTATTTTCTGGAGAGTTCTATCACAATGGCATACTTTGAACTTGTGGGGGTGAGAAATGAATCTGAGTCCTTGTGATTGTTGTGAACTTGTATGCTATTCAACTTCTTATTTAGAAACATGAAGTATGTCTCCTAATCTTTCTTATAGATACAGATACTTTCATTTAATATATGTGGTCTCTTGTAATCTGAATGTAGGAATGGAACTAATACAGGGGGCATTGGACTGGGAAAAGCTGATGCAACATCTCCACAAGCTTCTGTTGTTATGCGTTCTTCATTCTCCAAGGCTGAACAGGATAATGGTCATCTCCATGATAGAAGAGACCGTTCAATTGGTTCAGAGAAAGAAAGAATAAATGTTAGAACTGTCAACAAGTATGGGAAGAATAGATCATTTATTTTTACTTGAATCGATTGCAATTAGTGAATGTTCTCTAATTTAGTGAAGCCTCCTTTGGGGTTCATTTAAAATTTAATGTTATATATTGCATTTGCTTATGAATCTCTGTGATTTTCAATATAATTTTTTTATCCAGTGCCTCCAAGACAACTGCTCGGGAAGAACTAAGCTCAGGAAGCCCTACCTCTAGTGCAAAGTTGAATGGTGCTGCACGGGCCCCACGATCTGGTGCATGCGTGGCTCAAAAAATGGGCCCCACGGTTCAACGTGCTGCAGTTGCTAATGATTGGGAGGTTTCTCATTGTACAAACAAACTACCTTCGACTTCCGCGGTAACTAACCGTAAGCGCACGGCTTCAGGAAGGTCCCCATCACCACCTGTGGGTCAGTGGGCCAGCCAGCGGCCCCAGAAAAGCTCCCGAACAGCGAGGCGAACACATTTTCCCATTGTTTCCAACGATGGTGAAACTTTTGCCCCAGATAATTCGACTGAGGCAGTGGTGTGTAATGATAGGCGATTGTCTGGCTCTTCTCCTCAGTGTCTTAAGTTTAAAAGTGACAACTTGTCAGCTGCGTCTGAAAGTGAGGAGTCTGGTATTGCTGAAACCAAGCCAAAAGATAAGAGCAAGAAGTCTGAAGAAGTGGATGGAAAAATTGGGTTTGATGTCCAAAAGATGTCAACTTTGCTACTACCACCAAGAAAAAATAAGTTGGTAGGCAGTGATGAGCATAGCGATGGTGTACGTAGGCAAGGGAGGTCCAGTCGTAGTTTGACTTCCAGTGGGTCCTTCATGCCTTCAACTGTAGAAAAGCTTGGGAATTTGGGAACAGCTAAACAACTGAGGAGCTCTAGAAATAACTTAGATAAAACTGAGAGGTTAGGACATTATCTTATTACCCTACATGGTTTGTTTCTAGTATGTGCAGTGGGACATGAGTTTAGTCATCTTATGATATTTTCTGTGCAAGTGGAAAAGTCTATGACAATGACGGTTTAGAAGGTTGAAACAGAAATGACTCCCAGCTTAAAACTTTGTCACTGTTCTTATGCATGAAATAATAGTTTTATTTAATTATAGACAATTATTTGAATAAGCTTCATGCCTTTATTCTCAACATATTTGGGGTTAAGGCAATGATGGTGATGAGTATCTGTGAATTGTGAGTGTCACTCATTGGTAGAGTGGATCATATGATTTTATGGGACCTATTCCTGCAGCAAAGCAGGTCGCCCTCCCACAAGGAAGCTCTCTGATCGTAAGGCTTATAAACGTCAGAAACATTCAACAGTTAATGCTGCAGCAAATTATCTAGGTAACCACAGCTTGTAACTCAGTAACTGGACTGGATATGTATGTAGAGGAAAGTAATTACTTTATTATTGATTATTCTGTTTACCCCCCTTTCATAGTTGGTTCCTATGATGGACAAGATGAGTTATTGGCTGCGGCAAGTGATGTTACCAACACTGGTAATTTGTTACTGAAATTGTCTTCGTTTCCTTGTCAAACAGTGTCTATTAACGCTCTGATTTAACATTTTGCTAATGTAGCTCAAGCGCTTTCCAGCCCATTTTGGAAGGAGATGGAGTATCTGTTTCGTTTTATATCGCACTTGGACATTACTTTTTTGAATAAACAGGTAATTTGCATATTCTGTGTTGTCCATTTATGGTGTCTACCATTCTTGCAGTAGTTCTACATTGTATTCTTTAAGCAACGGAATAGGGAAAATTGCTTACATGTCTCAGAATAATGAGATTTCACGCATTGCTGCTAGCAAGAACGTCATTTCACATGTCCTACTTTCAACATCTTTTGAATCAATAGAACCTTGTGAAGTAGTTATGATTTTAAATTTTCTCGAATCACAACTTACTCTTAAAGTACTTTTGTAAACATTACTTTAGGCAGCAAACATAAACATTTATGCCAATTTTACTTCACTTGATCTCCATAGCCCATACCAACTGAAATTATAGCCAATTTTACTTCACTTAATCTCCATAGCAGCAAAGATAAACGTTTATGCCAATTTTACTTCACTTAATCTCCATAGCCCATACTAACTGAAATTATAGCCAATTTTACTTCACTTAATCTCCATAGCCCATACCAACTGAACTTATAGCCAATTGTACTTCACTTATTCTCCATAGCCCATACCAACTGAAATTATACTGTAAGCTAGATGGGGACAATATGTTATTTCTAAATATTTCCGCATAAGACTTATTCTCATTAGTTTTTGGTAACAGGAGTCAGGAAATGTGATTTCACTTATATAAACTACACAACATGACTTTACCCCTATTTTCCCACAGAGAATCTAATAATTAATAATAGAACAACTTATGAAATGACTAGTGCTCGTGAATGTCTCTAAATCAATATCTAACTAAGCTATCTAACATTTTGGTCTTTATTGGTTATATTTGGGTTGATGTATCTTCTTCGTTTGGTATCTTTCTCCAGATGAATGGTAGAAATGCTGTGGCTACGCCAGCTCCAATATCTACTGAGGCGAGCAAGTTCAGTATATTTCCGAAAGGGTTCGATGGAGATGGGGATGAAGTTGGAAGTGTTGACTTTTTTGCAGAGCATGGAGTTTCAGGAACAACTAAGCCTGCCCCGATCTCCTTATATCAGAGACTGATGGCAGCGCTAATCCCTGAAGAAGCAGGTGAAGAATTATCTTGCTGTGGAAATGAAGATCCCAAGTTCATTGCCTACCAGCCTGCATTTGATCTAGACATGGATTCAGATTCGGACATATTTCATGCAAGAACAATATACAACAGTGGTTCAAGACACCCTGCTTCTAATGGCTATAGGAAATATGCGAGTGGAAATTCATTTGTTGAGACAGACCATATTACGCTGGATAGTAGCATTAGACCTGCTAGAGAGTCACATTTCTTATCAGAGTGTAACCTTACCCAGAGCGGTCTATTGCCAGATGAAATAGTGGTGTCTGATGTTCTTTTTACTGAATATCAGTATAATAAAATGTCAATAAATGAGAGACTTCTCCTGGAGATCCAATATATTGGAATCTACCCTGATTTAGATGTAGGTTGTTGAACTATGTTGTTAGCATTATAAAAATAGATACACTGCTATTTTATTATTCATTTACATGATAGCTTGTTGATTAATGCAGACTGGCATGGCGCAGAACCGGGAAGAAGAAATTAGGGGAGATATCAGTAATTTAGACAAGAAGTATCAGGAACTGGTATGATCTGTTAGTCAATGTATATATAGCTGAGACTGATATTTTATCCCCAGTCTCCACTCCCTTCTCAGTTCTCCCACTCTCTTCACCTTCCCTCTCCTGTCTCCACTCTCTTGAAACCAAAAACACCCAAAAGAACAAGGAAAGGAAAATGAAAAAATAACTATTTACATGCCCTTCAAAACCTATCATCTAGAGCAAAATTTTCGTCTCATCTTTGTTATTTATCACTTCTATATCACCGTTAGGCTATATGTTTAAAGAACCGGACCGGACCGGGCGGTTCAACCCGGAACCCGGAACCCGGCCACCCGGTCAATCATCCGGTCCGGTTAACCTCTAAACCATTAATATATCTAAACCCGGAAATAACCGGTGATCTTCCCAGTAGAATTTTTTTGATGAAATTTTTTGGGCATGTTATTCATCAAGTCTAGTTTATCCACAACATTTCAGCTAAAAATTCAATTGAGAAGACAGCCAAATAATTTTTGGAAGACAACTGTGTTTTTATGTATATTTTGGCGCAGTTATTTTCCACAAATTATTTGAATGCCTTCCCGATTGAATTTTTAGCTGAACTTTTTCTGTGGAAACTAGACTTAATGAAGAACATGCAAAAAAAAAGTTTCATAAAAAAATTCCACTGGGAAGGGCCCCAAACGCAGCCGTCCGTCTGGCAGTTCCGGTCAAGAAGGCTTGACCGGAAGATTACTTATATATATATATGTATGTATGTATATATATATATATATATATATATATATATAATTATTGGTGTTGACCGGGTTTCGGGTTGTTGACCAGGTTTTGGGTCATTGACCGGGATGACCCGCCGGGTCCAGGTTGACCCGTGACCCAGTCATCTCTCCGGGTCACTTCCTGGTCCGGTTCTTTAAACATAGCCTTTAGGTAAATCTATCCGAAATTGCAAGCATGATTATAGAGATCTTGATTACAAACTGAAACACACAAATAATACTTGAAGCCACTCTTGTTGCAGTTCATTTTATGAGAATTATGAGGAAAAAGGCTTACCCTAGAGGTAGCCGTATGCATGTATTTATAATAATCCAAGAATAAGTAATTACAAGAGTATCCCTACATTATTATCTATTGCACCCCCTCAATCTGTGCAGCGGGAACAACACACATATTGGACTTAAGAAAATTAAAAAGCTGACTAGACAGATTTTTAGTAAAAATGTCTGCTAACTGAAACTGAGTAGGAATATATTTTACAACTAAATCACCATGAGCCACACGCTCACGAACAAAATGGTAGTCAATCTTTATATGCTCGCTCCGATCATGCTGAATAGGATTAACCGCAAGGTATGAGGCTGAGACATTATCACAGTAGAGCTGAACGCGCTGTGAAATAAAATATCCCATGTCCGCAAGCAAAGAACGAATAAACAATGTGTCCTGAACAGTGTAAGCCACAACTCTATATTCGGCCTCTGTGGAGGGTTTTGAGACATAGGTTGCTTTTTGGACCGCCAAGAAATTAAATTGTTGCCCAAGAATATAGCATACCCAGCAGTGGACCGACAACTATCAGGACAACCAGCCCAGTCTGCATCAGAGTAAGCAACCATAGGCCCTCGGTAATAGTACCCTGCAAGTACCTGTAAATACGTTTCACAGCTAAAAGGTGAGTAGTGCGAGGAGCATGCATAAACTGTGAGACCAAATGAACAGCATAGGTAATATCCGGTCTAGTAATAATCAAGTACTATAAAACACCTACCATACTGTGATATTTAGTACCATCTGTGAGTAATTCCCCATCAGTCAAAGATAAAGTGGTACGAGTGGGAAGAGGTGTGCGGACTGATGTGACTGTGTGAAGATGAAATTGCCGCAAGAGATCAGAAATATACTTTTTTAAGGAAAATACCTGTAGAGCTACGCACAGTCTGAATCCCGAGAACGAAATGAATATCTCCCAGATCTTTCATGGCAAAAGTCTGAGAAAGTAAGTGAATAATAGACTGAACCAGAGAAGGAGAAATGCTTGTAATGAGAATATCATCCACATACAAAAGAATACATATACGATGAGAGCCACGGTGATAAATAAACATGGAAGAATCAGATCCACCATTACAACCCATGACTAAGAAGAAAGCCACTGAAATGATGGAACCAAGCACGAGGAGCTTGTTTGAGCCCATACAATGCCTTACGAAGACGACAAATGTGATGAGGAAAGGATGGATGAACAAACCCCGGTGGCTGATGCATATAAACTTCCTCTGTTAAATAACCATGCAAAAAGGCATTTTTGACATCTAACTGACGCACCCCCAGCCAAAAGAAGTCGCAACAGAGAGTAGACACACAGTAGTAGGTTTGAGCAGGACTAAAAGTTTCAGAAAAATCTACCCCAGCCTGCTGATTATAACCTTGAGCCACTAAGCGAGCTTTGTGACGCTCTATAGACCCATCAGAATTGTATTTTGTTTTATAAACCCATTTACATCCGACCACATTTTTGGTGCTATCGCTAGGTACTAAATCCCAAGTCTTATTAGCAATGAGAGCATTGAACTCTTCAGCCATAGCCGCCCGCCATTTTACACTTAGTCTTGTAGATGCCGTCTTTAGCTCGGGTTCTCATCGGATGGATATTTTGGACCGGTGGTGGGCTGGGTGATGGACTATCGGGTGGAGTGGGTACGGTACTAGTAGGTGGGCTCGGGGAAGGGCTTGGCAGAGAATTGGATGTGCGGCTAGAGGTGGTATGGTCTGGGCTCGAGAGAGGGTCAGGTGACACGGTATGGTGCTCGGTATGGTGCTGGATCGATGGCAAGGATATTGGGTTGGGAGGAGTATTGGTGTGTGCAGACGGAAAAGTTAAGTGTGGCGGGTGATGAGCTGTTGGGGGCCTGGGAGGAGGTGTGATAGGATGAGCTACATTTGTGGGAAAAGAATGGAGTGAAGAAAATGGTTGACTTGAGGAATTTGGAGGAGTTGATTGACTTCAAGAAGGGGTAGGATAAGGGAAAGTAGACTCATGAAATACAACATCGCGACTAATGTAGACGCGACCAGTGGTAGGGTCAAGACAACGGTAACCTTTGTACCCCGGTGCATAGCCAATAAAAACACAAGGAGTAGATCGCGATGATAGCTTATTGCCCGACGTGGCAACTTTATTGGGAAAACACGCACAACCAAACACGTAAAAAACTATAGTCAGGAGATTTTTGAAAAATTTTCTGATATGGACTCGGACCCTGTAGAATAGGCGTGGGAAGCCGATTAATAATGTACATGGCAGTGTAAAGTGCATCAACCCAAAAAGAAGGAGGAAGGTGTGCATCAATAAGCATGGTACGTATTAATTCTAAAAGATGCCAGTGTTTACGTTCAGCCACGCCATTCTGAGCAGGGGTGTCGGGACAAGATTTTTGAAATAAAATACCACAATTAAGAAAATGATGAATAAATTGGTGGTTATTAAATTCACCCCACCATCACTCTGAAAATATTTAATTTTACAACCTAAAAGATTTTCTGTTAGTTTCTGAAAATTACAAAAATGGGTAAAAACCTCAGATTTCCTATGCATGGGATAAACCCAAGTAAATCTAGAAAAATCATCAATAAAACAAACATAATATTTATAACCAAAATGGGATAAAACAGGAGACTGCCAAACATCGGAATGAATTAATTGTAATGGAGCAGTAGCAGTATGTAAAACATCTGGAAAAGGTAAACGATGGGATTTGCCCAGTCTACAAGAAGTACATAAATGATGAAAACTAGTAGATAAACCGAAGAGTAGACAATATGCTATCACCACAATGACCTAAGCGATTGTGCCATACCGGACGAGGTGTAGAGGAAGTAAAAAGGGCTAGAGGTGATGAGGAAACCGTGAAGGGGTAAGTCCTATCCTTATTGGAAGCGTGGAGTAGAGTTGCCCCCGTTGATTGTCCTTGACAAAAAAAGAAGATTTGTTAAAAATTGCAGTACAATCATTATCCTCACACAATTTTTGAATAGACTGTAAATTGAATTTTAGATGAGGAACATGATATACTGAGTTTAAACAAAGTGGGCGGCCAAGTGAAGGTAAATGTACATTGCCAATCGTAGACACAGATAAATTAGTACCATTAGCTACCTGCACATGAGTGTGGTTAGTAACAATGGATTTATTATTTAAAATACCTTCATTTGGGGTCGTATGAGCTGAGGCACCAGAATCTGGATACCATGTCGCTTCATTGGTCTCACCGGTGGGTAAAGCAGCTAGGGCCAGAGAAGAACCAGATGTGAACTTGGAGCAAGTTATGGCAGAGTGACCCGGTGTAAAACATAACTGAGGATGCATAACTAGGCGGGGGATGCATAAGTGTGATCAACTGATGGGAAACCTGCACTTTTAGTATGAGTACCACGAGTATAATAGGGAAACAAACAAGAAATCACGAGAGGAATATTACCCATACCTGCACCGGGTGCTCCCGGAGTGTAAGATGCATGATGTCCCGCATACAGGTAATCATAGCCACGTGGATAGGGCTGCTGTCCAGGGGTACCGGGGTAGCCATACCCTCTGCCACGGCCCTGGTGACCCCGCTGTGAGCGCTGGCCGCGACCACCACGACCACCCCGAGATGGTGCACCCCCTCGGCCCTGAAATTGATGCTGCGGGCGAACTGGTGAGCTCGAAGGGGACTGCCCAGTAGCGGCAAAAGCCTGATGCTGTGATGAAGATGCATCCGTCCCATGCATATACTGCAGTCGGTGCTCCTGGAGAACTAAAATAGGTCCCAACTGATCAAAAGTAAAAGTAGGAGGAATATATGCCAAACCGCCTAGCATGGACTCGAATTCCGGACCAAGACCAAGAAGAGCATACTTTATGAGATCCTTGTCACTAATCGGAGAATTGATTAGCGCCAAAGAATCCGCAGCAACCTTAATTTCGCGAAGATATTGGTCCATGGTCTGACCGGGCTTTTTCTTTTTCATAGAAAGTTGACGTTTAATTTCCATAGACCATGCAGTACTTGCAGACATAAACTTGTTTCTAAGGTGACCCCAAATTTGATAAGAAAATTTAAGGTCATACACATCAATTAAAAAAATCTCGGGAAAGTGTGGTGAATAGCCATGAACGGACAGTTTGGTCTATTTTCAACCAGTGTTGATAATCCGTGTTAAAGATCTCCCTACGAGAAGCATCCAAAATAACGGAGAAGGAATGGGATTCGTACCATCCAACATACCCAACAAACTATGGGAGACCAAAAAAGATTCAAATTGTGTTTTCCAAGGTAAATAATCATCAACCGAAGCCAACCGAGTGGTAACAATATTCGTGACATTAGGGGTGGAGAAGGTCAACTGGGATGCCATAGTAGAAAGATAAGATGGTGAATTACCGAACCCGGATGGAGAGCGATGCGGCCGCGTGGATGAGGACCGATTTCAAACTGTCCACCGACGGCATGATTAAAAGGCATAGATGAGCCACTGGTCTGAACTGCAGCGGCTGAAGAGGAGGTAACGATCGTCGGCTGCCAGGTAAAAGGTTCCGGCATCTGAAAAAGAGAATAGCTGGAAACATGAGGGCTGGTAGCGCTGAAAATAGCCGACGATGGGGGTACTGTCTGCTCCTGCATGAATAAAGGCCGCGGGCGACTTGTAAGGGGCTGCTCCAACTGAAGAGATGTGGGCGCCTGAGAAGAGATAGCTGATAAAACGGCAGTAGCGTTCGGCTGAATACTGCTGGCGTCGATCGAGTCCTGGGAGTCGAACGAGGAAACAGCCGCAGTCATGGCAGATGTCATTAGGGTTAGAATCGTATACCCTTAGCAATCTGATACCATATGAGAAATATGAGGGAATGGCTTACCCTAGAGGTAGCCGTATGCATGTATTTATAATAATCAAAGAATAAGTAATTACAAGAGTATCCCTACATTATTATCTATTACATTTAACCTTTCTTTCTTTTATTTGTAGGTATCGCAAAAGAATGGTATGCTGCACAAGCTGCTTAACTATGCTGATAAGACAAGAGTGTGTCAAGAGAAGTAATATAGCGTGCTTTGTGATATGTTATATAACCTCTGCATGGTATCTTCCTAATCAAATTTATGTGTTGCAGGGACTTTGAACAGCTTGCTTTTGACAAACTCGTAGAGATGGCATATAAGAAATATTTGGTAATTCTGGATGTTCCTCAATGAGAATTTATAATGCAGTTTTTCATTATGCCATTATGGTTTAATGGATTAAATTTCACATTTACGTAATTGTTGTTGTTGGAAATGAGATCATGATGCCCAAATCTTGTGTATAACGTAATTGCAACTGGAGGTTGTTATATCACTGTTTCTTTCATTGAAATCAGATTTGATATCTAAATGATACTCCCTCCGTCCCGGTAAATTGTTCCCGGTTTCCTTTTTGGGTCGTCCCAAAAAATTGTTCCACTTTCCCCTTTTGGAAAGTTTTTTGTGGCTACAATTCATTTACCTTTTTCTTACTCAACCACAACCATACATATCCACTTTATTCCCACTTTCTTAAACTCCGTTCCAAGTCAATGCGAGAATAATTTTCCGGGACGGAGGGAGTATGTATCTACACCGTTATAAATTTTGAATGACCTGTAAATATCATTCATCTATTCTTTTGTCCCTATGATTGACAATGGGCAATGTTTGAAATTGTATATATTTATTATAAAATAAGAAACCAACATGTAAGATCTTGCCTACTCTTATTAGGTTAACCTTTAAAAATGAAATGTCAAGTCATACTAACAAAATTGTACTCCCTCCGTCCCTTATTAGGGTTTAGGGCTTAGGGTTTAGGTTTGTGCAAATGAGAGAGAGTTAATAAGAACCACAATTCTTTATTTAAAAGGGAAAGTGGCGAAGTTAGTGGAACAACAAAAAAAGGAAAGTTGACAAAGTTATAAGAGATAGATGAAGTATGATATATATAGATTCCTTTTTTTAAAATAAATCTCAACCACACAATTTCAGTGTCTACAAACAATCATCATTATCATTACCCCGGTGCCACAAAGGCTCCCACCTACGGTGGAGTAGGGGGGTCGAATGTACGCATCCTTACCCCTGTACTAAAAGCACAGAGAAACTATTTCTGGATGACCCATAGTGAAAATCGCGTCAAAAATTGCATGGACTGACTGGTGTTTCATAACAAAGAAGCGCAGACAGTTTAGTGAGTCATTTTGCTTTATTCCATCATATTCACAAGCCAAAAAATACTGAGTCTCTAGCTCCATTACAAATGATGGAAAATGCAATAAGTATGGGACAGAGGCAATATGTTCAATACTTTGTAGAGTAATACTTTACTTTTCAAAAACATTTACTACCATCATCCCAAGAAGTCCCTTGTACGATGAATCAACAACTTTATTAGTTTGGGTTAGGTAAAGTTTCCTTAAATGGTTAAGTCCACATGTATAATTTAAATATGTTTGTTGTTTTACTGGAGTGATGATATGTTTTGTGAATTACATTGAAAGTCTTTGAAACTTGTATTTTTTTGGTACTGCAGGAGTATATATACTTTCAAAGTGTGATTGCAGCACGAGTATATATGTTTTTTAAAATAGTTATTTTTTAGTTAGTTATATTCTTAGCTCAATATTGGTATAGCTATTTGGATGGCAGGTGTGTAAAAACTAAATTTAGCAATTTGAAAGAAGCCAAACATCCTCCTATTTTAAAAGCCATGTGACAAGCTACTCATAAAAACCTAATGTTTACTTTATGAAATTGTGAAACAGCTATGCATCTTCCAAGAATTTTGAATGATTCTCTGTAGATTCATTTTTGCTGTTGCTAGATGAAATTTCTATTTGTGCAGGCTGTTCAATAACAGTGTTATTATTATAATTTGGTAATATTTCTGCTTCAATGCAATGTACTTTAGTCAAGCACTTGCAAGTTCTTTTTTTTTTATTGGTTATCTATATAGTCCTCCTGCCCCCCAAAAGTAGTCATTTTCAAAAGTTTTTTTGGGTGAAAAAGCCCTCTTTCCTCAAAGAAAGTTGATTTTTTATGAACTATGTTAAAAAGAATTACATACTAGTTCAATATGATAAATTTAGTTTAACCAATCATTGCAGTTAAGTTTAATTAGGATTTCATTTCTTTTAACAGTTGTCCCTTGTCAAAGTAAAATAGTTGTACCCTGACCAAAAAGGATTCCTTGTAATAAATGTGCATCTTTTCAGTATGTTTGAGAGGAATTGCAATTATACTAGGTTTCTGATAATGGTCAAGGAAAAAGGTCCTATGAGAAGAGTTGTAACTTGTTTTCCGTAAGTTTAAAGGCCTTTCCCTCAAATACTTCCACATGGTAAGCCCTCCAAAACCATTTAGCTCACATGTGAGGTAGCTCGTTGAGGATGACATATATATACTCTCATACAAAAAAGGATGTCCAAATTTCACTTAAGAAACACAACACAAAGTTTTACTTTCCCTTGTTACCCTTCTAGCTTCACTTTTTTGTTGAAGTGTTTGTAGAAAGACAAAAATCTTATCCATTTTATGGTCTAAATGAAGACTGCAGTCTTCCCTTTATCCTTAAGATGTGTGTATACAGTGAGTGGAGAAATAGTAGATTTACATACTGCTTTAGCTTTTCTTTTTGGTTGGGGTGGTTTGCTGACAGATCCCTTTTTAACAGGCTTGCTGTGGCCGTAATGCGCATGGGATGAAAAGTGGGAAAATTGCAAAACAAGCTGCACTAGCGTTTGTTAAGCGAACATTGGAAAGGTATCAAGAATTTGAGGAGACTGGCAAGAGCTGCTTTAATGAGTCTTTATTTAAAGAAATGTTTATGTCTGGGATATCCCACTTTGGTGATGGACAATTAGATTCAATTACCGGTGGTGAACCTGGCAGCTCTGGGGATGCAAGACCTTCAGGTATTCTTAATTATTGTGTGTGTAATTCATTAAATGATTGAAGTGTGCTTCCTTTTGTTAGTACCTGTGAGGCAGATGAGAGCATGCTTTACTTTTCACAGTTATGATCATGCACATATTTTTTTAATTTGCAGTTTCATTAGGAAAACAGCAAAGTCCATCTTCAAACCAGGAAGTATTTACTGAAGGCAGTGTAGTTTATGAAGTGAATAGGGTCAGAAGAAGAGAGTTGTTTCTTGATGATGTTGGTAATAATGTTGCTACATCAGGCATACCTTTGAGCACTGCAAAAGGAAAACGAAGTGAGAGGGAGAGGGATGGGAAAGGAACTTACAGAGAGATCCTATCCAGAAATGGATCTAATAAAATTGGTCGGTCTACCTCAACCAACATGAAGGGAGAAAGGAAGCCTAAAGCAAAACCCAAACAGAAAACTGCTCAGCTCTCTACTTCTATGAATAGTCTAGTTGGCAAGATTTCAGAGCAATCCAAGCCAACCGGGTCCTCAGTATCAAAAACAAATGAGATAACCATAAACTACACCATCAAGGATAAGAAAGAGTGTGAGTCTGAAGAATTGGAGGACCCTATTGATTTATCTGGCTTACAGCTCCCTGGAATGGATGTTTTAGGTGTTCCTGATGATCTGGGCAACCAAGGACAGGATATAGGATCTTGGTTAAACTTTGATGATGATGGATTACAAGATCACGATTTCATGGGGCTTGAAATCCCAATGGATGATCTTGCAGACTTGAATATGATGGTTTGATGATACCTGGCCAGTATTGTATATTATATACGCTGACAAGAAGGGAGCCTCTTGTTGTTGTTGAGAATGTTCAAATTGCAGACTTGAATATGATGGTTTGATGATCTATGGCCAGTATCTTATAATTATATACGCTCTCAAGAATGGAACTTCTTGTTGTTGAGAATGTTCAAATGCACCACATGGGGTCATACAAACTCTTACACCTGGTATTATGGTTAATGCATTCTTTTATGCAACCACGCATGAGTCCACTTTCGGTGGTCTTTTCAAATCCTTCGGGGGCTTTGTTTCTTTTTATTTTTCTTACGACCATGACTGTAAAGATCTCCTTTTTGTACAACAAAAGTAGTGTCTTTAGTTCTATAGTGCTCTAAGAGCAAAGCTGTATTTTTTTTATTTATAGCAATATAGGCCATTGAACATCACCCGTCTTCTGTATATAAGTTATGTGTTTTCAATAGAATAAGTCCACCCATCTTGCAAAATCCTCTGTTGGTAATTGTTTCATGTTGGATTTGAGATGATCTTGAAACAGGTGGGATTTGAATGCGTTAATTTGGTTTTTGTCAAATGAAAGATTTGTCAAATCACATGTATGCTGTCAGGTGGGTAGTTTTCAAGGGGGACATGTATGCTGTCAGGTGGGTAGTTTTCAGCTTTGTCAAATCACATAAGCGCCAAGTTTCCACAGCTATATCTGTCAGTATGTTTTCTCATATCGGTTTTCCAGGTATTCATCTCTATCTGATACTTGATATATTGCTTTTTATCTGATATCTGGTATATTGTTTTTTGTATAACAGGGAGCAATTCGGTTTGTCATGTTTCATGATTTGCATGTTGGACGTGTAAAATCAATCATGTAATGGGCATGATAATACTAACTATATCAACCCTATGCATGTTGAAATTACCTACGATGACAATTTTATCTTGTTAATCCTTAGTAAGCTCCCAACAGGAAGCATATCTGACATAAAACATTGCCAGCATTTTTAGTTAATTTAATAGGGAAATTGCCCTAATTAGGAGTAATTAGGACAATTCTAAAATAAGACTACTATGTTTTTCTCCCCAAAATAGGATACTGGCATGATTGAAAAATACTTACATGATTGAAAAATACTGTCATTAATTGTAATTAATACTGTTTTTTTTTTACCCGGAAGGCAAACCACCTATCGGTGGGGCAAATGCCGGGGAACATTTGCCGTATTTTATAATAAAAGCAAAGGAAGTACAAAAAGAGAGGGGTTCAAACCAAAATCTCTCCAAAGAGGTATGCCTCTTAAAAATACACGAAATAAAATAGAGGAATATTTGGGGGGACTAGACCTGACCCAAATATGAAATATAAACAAACAACAAAAAAGGTGAGCATTAAAAACGCAAATGATTAAAGCTGAATAAATCAGCCAAATAGCTGATTCTAGCTTGGGATAAAACTCTCATGTTGAATGCGTAGTGCTGCAAATATTTGGCAGTCATGCCTACAAGATGGCAGTAAATACTGCCATGTTGCTCCTATTCTGGAAAGAACAACATCCTATTTTGGAATTCGGAAATTTGTTTACTCCTATGTTGGGAAATCTCCCAATTTAATACTGAATCTGAACTATGAATGAATTTAGTGCCTCTGACCCTAAGTAATTGGGATTAAGGTGCTGAAATTATAATTATCAAAATGTTCAGTTATAACAGTTACATATCTTTGTAATTAGTATAGTGATTATTATAGGCTCCTAATCCTTGCATAAACAGTAGTACAAACATAAGAATAATGTATGCATTTTAGTCTGCAATTTCCCTCCCTTAAACCAGTCTTCTCTTTGTGTTATCTAATGACCATTGATGGAAATGGAGACTCCCGAAAAAATTAGATGGATCGAATTACCTGATTGGCTTGACCAGGTTCTTGACCTTCTTGTCGGGTCACATTTGAGTCAGTATGTAGAAGATAAGACTGCACGGCCATCTGAAAGTGATGCAGTCGGTTGTCTCTGATGGAATCAGAAAGACTGACTTCTCCGCCACGCCCTAGTCTCCTCCCTTAGCTCGGCCTGTAAACCATTAAAATCAGCTCCCGATGCACGTCTGCCACTATCTTGAAGAAACTTGAGCGGCTCTACAAGACTCAGTCAGCCTCCATGATCTGGAACCTCAAAGATTGATTCCACCATATGCAGCAGGAAGCTCAACCTGTCAATGAGTATCTTCACAACCTTTGAACCCTAGTTGATGAGCTGGCATTGTCAAAACGACCGGTGGACGATGAAGACTTCCTCATCTAGGCACCAGAGGGATTCTGCCTGGAGTTCGAATCCATTGAAAATTCCATACAGACCTCCGGTGACACTCAGTTCAAAGATATCTATAATTTAAGAATTTGATGTCTTTGTTAAACAGAGAATTTGGGAACTTGTTCAAGCTGGTCCTGGTCAAAATGTTGTTGGTCTCAAAGGTACTTTCCTACACTAACAAGATACAGTATGTTTTATGAGTCTTATAAATACGAAGGAAGAGTTTTTGATGAAAAATGTGCAACTTAAGAAAAAGAAGCGCTTAGGAAGATATATATCTAACAAGAAGAAAGTGCTAATTAATCACTTTTCATCTTAGCTCACCAAACACCTAGCCAAATTCTTAAGTAATCATTTAAATATCTTTAGAGTTTAGATAGTTGGTCATTTAGCATCAACCAAACATGAGTCTCAAGATGGCTTCTAGATGAAATCTTGATTGGGTAAGACAAGACTGAGTAGCTTTGAGCAAGTTAATGATAACAGTGAAATACCCGAGGACCGAGTAGCATGAAGCGGTATTATACATCATTACATCTCGTGAAACACTTTTACATAACTAAAACTAAACACATGAGGTCATAAACAAGATGTATAAACTGCTTTTATAATGTAAATAAACGAATTATAAACACTACACTTAATAATTAATTAAATTGCTTTTATATGTGTAAATGTGTAATCATGAACATTACACATGTAAAACACAAATTTAATTAAACAACAGAAGTATCCATTACTTTCACTAAATTTATTATTCCTCTTATTACAATTGTAATTATACATAAAAATCTCACAGCTAATTTAAGTAATTACGAACCACTTTAACTAAACTATCATCACTACAATTCTTTTACGATTTTGCTACGATTTCATATGATTCTAAATGATTCTATTTTTATTTTATACAATATTTGCAGACTTGTGCTAATGATGATTTTGATGTTTACCACTAATGAAACTAGATGCGTGTTGAGTGGTTTAAAGTCTACCTAGAATGATAAAAATACATTTAATTAAGACTGGATTTCAATTTATGGAACAAACATCAAACTGGTTTATCATTTCAAACATATTTAAATTTATTTACTTGACGTTTTCCTAATTGAACTCTCATGTTCTTCATAATAGGACTCTTGGTTTTCCGGAGCTTTATGGTATCATTTTCCAACATTTCCAAACAAGCACCCATGGCCTCTTGTTTCACATAGAAGAGTTCAATTCGACTCCAGATTTCTAAGCCTTCTGTACGAGCTTATGATTTTCCAAAATTATTCCATTGATATGTTTAATGATCCAAGTCACGAGTTTCCATATCAAATCTTTCGAGAATATACTCAAAATGTTGAAAATTAATTAAGGATCAATTGTAATTGTCAGAATTTAATTTTTTTCCGATCTGATTTCCAATATTGTTTTATGATTATTTCTGAGGTATTCTTTTCATATACTGATCCCAGTTCAACGCCTCTTCATTTTGATCAACCCTAGTCGATTCTAACATCAAAAAACGATCAAACAATGCACTTTAGCTTTTACTTTTATAAAAAAAAACCTTTCATAGAATTAAATGTGTTAATCATTTTACAAAAACTTTTTTTGCAGAATTCCAAGTGTTTTTTTTAACTCTACTCATTGATATTTTTTTGAAAACTTAAGAAACTTTTTGAGAACTATTCTGGTTTGTTAACCGCTACTCAGAACAGGGCTAAGGCCATCACTAAGGCCATCGTTAAGGCCATCGCTGTTGAGAAATGGAACTTGACAAAAAAAGTCTTTAAGAGGAAAGCTAGCTACCACAGAAGCTCCAAGAAAGACAAAGAGAACCAAGAAGTCCTCTAAGAAGGTTGTGCAGTTGCAGTTATAAGAAACAACTTTACAATGAACCTGTTGCTGAGGAGGAACCACTATGACAATATCAGACTATCTCTAAGGGGAACCAGAAGTCCAAACACATGTAGGCTAAGGGGTCAAATAGACCCTTGAATTAACTTAAAGTGTTCAAATGATTTTTTGAATATAACTACGCAATTAAACAACGCAGTACATTTCTGAAAATCATTTGACTGCCTTCCCGATTTAATTTTTAGCTAAAATTTGATATGGGTAAACTAGACTTAATGAAGAAGATGCTCACAAAATTTCATCAAAAAATTCCATCGGAAACCTCCCCAATTGGCGATGGCCAGGTTGAACCTCCTATATGAGGGGCTAATTGAACACTTTAAGTTAGTTCAAGGGCCTATTTGACCCTTTAGCCAACACATGTACTACCAGAGTTGTTATGCCAGACTCTAGTGAACCTAACTCAATGCCAACAAAAGTTCCTCCTTAGACAACTATATAAGAGGTAAATGTTGACCCACTTGTAGAAATGCAGTTTGCCATGGTCTTAGTTTGGAGGACCCGGAGACCAAGTCTAGTTAAGGACTTAGCCAAAGAATTAGAGTTCTGCAGGGCAGAGGAACCATATGTCCTTGAATGGATTGCTTGTTGAGCATTGCAAATTGTCTATAGGCCGACGTGTACCTCAATAAGGCTCGGGCGACATTCGAACGTCAGGCCATGCAATTGGCCAAGGTAAAAAGTGATGTTGAAGCGTTGTTCCGACATAAAAAGATGTAGTTTCTTGATTGCTGACAAGACCGCTTAGGAAAACACACATCTGAAGGAGTAGCTTAGTCGGCGCGATGATAAGATACATACTCTTTGAGCCAAGTTGGCAGCTGTAGATAGGTTGGGGGTCACTCTCTGGTGGGTTAGAAAGGACGAGCAAGTCCCGAGCCCCTACGAGGTGGATGTTTTCGCCATAGGGACATCTGGTCGGTGGATTTCCAACGCTCTAAGGCCTGACAGGAGGCGCTGAAGAACACCTCCAAGCAGTTCCTTCCTTAGTATATTGGGGGACATCTCAAAGGCAACGATGATCCCTTGAAGGCCGAAATTAAGCTGCTTGATGCTTCAGCTGCGGGCAAACGTTTTCTTGATGACCTTGCTGATGATACCTTCACGAAAGGTATCTTTTGTCTGGTGGAAGATAATCTTCCGGTGTTTGAGCGGTATTTCCCTGCACCTTCCGATCCGGCATCCACGGGGTGCAATGCCTTTTCCTGGAGGCTTAGAGGGAGGTCCTCCGCTCCCAAGGGACGGTGGAAAGTTGCGCCTGAGCGGCCCCAACCTCCAAG